CATTGCCCTCGATAGAGTGCTGTGGCATCACAGCTCACAGCAACCTCAAATTCTTGGGCTTAAGCAATTCTCTTGCCTCAGCCTCCCAAGTAGGTGGAACTACAGGTGCCCAACCACAACACCTGGCTATTTTTTGTTGTTGTTGTTGTCATTGTTGTTGAGCAGGCCTGGGCCAGGTCTGAACCCACCAGCCCTGGTACACGTAGCTGGTGCCCTAACCGCTGAGATATGGGCACCAAGTTGAAAAAAAAGTCTCTTTATAATTCTCTGAGCACAAGATGAAATTCAAGTTTACTTAAAAATGTAATGTATTTTTGCACTGTTTTAATACATACAATTTTCTAGGAATGCAAGCTTATACTGCAATGTTTGGAACTTTACCAAGTTACTTACTATTCCAGAAGATCGTGTGTTGGAGCTGCCCCGTCCAGCCTGGCTCTATCAGTTTACATGCACAGCTGTGGCCTTGCTGGTGCGTCTCTATCTCAGATTAACGCATTATGAGTCCGTCACATAGTCATGCCCAAGCATTTACATAATGAAATGCCCTTAGAAACATTAAAGCTATTTTCTTTTTTCCCTTTAGAGTATGCTAGTTTTTAAAAATTAGGCGACAGGCTATGCTTTCTATAAATTTCTTTTCAAAAGAGAAGTGGTGAGATGTGAGAACCACTGTGACTGGGGGCCCTGCTGCTACCACGAGGCACTGCAAAGGTCTCTCTGGCCATGACCTGTTCCTGCCCCAGCCTGGGCCCCTCCTGGCACAGGACACTCACCGCGTGCTGGAAGTCCATGGACATGCCCATGCTCAGCTCCACCTGCCCGGGGGCCACGTGCAGCTTCTCACACAGCTCCTCCCGGAGGGACAGCAGCACCTGAGGGAAAGATGGACGATGCCCCTCTGCTGCCTTCATGGAAAGATGGACGATGCCCCTCTGCTCCTGCCTTCCTGGAAAGATGGGATGATGCCCCCGCCATTCCTGCCTTGGTTAACAAAGCCTAAAAGTGGCTGAACCTCAACATCTCTGACAAAGATTATGTATTCTTCATGATTTCAAGGCCTGTCAAAATTGCCAGAAGTTACTGAAAGGGTTTTTTAGCAAACTCTCCCATTTTCAAGAAAATTACCAGTCTCTGCAGAGGAAGACATAACTCATTTTCTCTAAAGGCTGCATTTCAGCCAAATTCAAATGGAGTTGAGAAAGGTCTGTGGGGTTTTGGAAAGCTGTTCTTCCCTTTTCCTCCTGAGAAGAGTTAAGAAGAAGGTTAGATCAGCAGCTAGACAGCCTTTTATTTTTTTGAGACAGAGTATTACTCTGTCACCCTAGGTAGAGTGCCATAGTATCATAGCTCACAGAAACCTCAAACTCTTGGGCTTAAGCAATAATCCTCTTGCCTCAGCCTCTCAAGTAGCAGGGACTAAAGGCATGCACCACTACACCTGGCTAGTTTTTCTATTTTTTGGTAGAGACAGGGGTCTCACTCTTGCTCCGTCTGGTCTTGAACTCAGAGGAGCTCAAGCAACTGGCCTGCCTCAGCCTCCCAGAGTGCTGGGATCACAAGCGGGAGTCAATGCACCTGGCTGTTTGGCAGCCATTAGACCTCTGCGCTCACCAGGGCAGCTGACCACAATAGCACTTCAGCATGGTGCTTCCTGAGCACCTGAGCATCTCCCCGACCCCCCAGTACCTGGAAGTCTGGATTTGGTCCTTGAGTGAGATCATGCCCAAAGCTTCCTATGGTCATCAGCCCCACGAATTCCAGGCTGGGACACTCGGCATTTATGTGCTCCACCACGGCCAGTGTCTCTGAGGGGGGAAGGCCATGTTTACCTTCACAAAGAGAAAGAGAAGACACGTACACTGAGGTGTGGTAACGCCCAGAGGGAGGCGCTACTCTCGTCCCTCCTCCTCTCAGACAAGAGGACCCTGCAAATAACCTGCCAAGTCCTGCAGGGTAACTTTATATCCAGGACCTTCTTCCACGTTGCTCCCCTCTGGTCAGGACCTCAATTTGTCAATTAAAAGCTATTAATTGGATTCTTTTTATTCTGTATGAGGACCTTAGCTGACAACAGTGAGGGAAGAGGGAAAAGAAAAATCCTTGCTTTGCTTGGGACACCAGGAAGCGTCACACTGCCAACATGATGGATGGACCTGATGGCATTTTTATAGTTCTATTAATTAATAGGATTGCAAAAAATTTAAGGTAAAGTATGTATCAAATGGTTTTGTCTGTATTTATTTGCAAATTTAAGTGAATTTGCCAGTTACCAAGCAGAGGAGGACTCCATAGCACATGCTCGGTTGTGAGTAGCTGTGAGGACGACACTGTCTTGGCCCCGTTTATCACAGAGAGAGCTAGGAACAGTCACTTCAATCTTTAATTAGGGCAAATTATAGCTAATTATCAAGAAATGACATCATAAAGACTTGACCTAGAATCAATTTCAGATTTACCTATATTGATAATATAGCTATAATCTGGGTACAGGTATATATAATGATAATTATTAAATCTATCAAACACTTATGTAGCAGGCACTCGCGCCAAGTCATAGGGGCTTTGCATTTAATGAATTCTCTGAAGTACTCTTACTAGTTCTACTCTAATGATGAGGAAACTGAGGCACAGGGAGGCTAAGTAGTAGGGAGGGAAACCTCCAAGGTTTCCAGGGCTGCACAACTAGGAACTATGCAACTGGGATCTGAGCTCAGGAGCCTGATTCCAGGACCGACCCATAAATAAGACACCTCGATGCTGTGCTGCTGTGTACTAAGAGCTGGTGGATTCTGGTGCTTTGATGGTGGCAAGCAAATGTTTAATCTGAAAACATTTACTCTTAACAGCTAACAAGGAAATATCTAGACTAGACAGAGATAAGAGCTTTGACATTCAATCCTACCACACCCTCTAAAGCGGGTCCTATTAGGATACCATTGCCAGAAATGGAAGCTGAGGTTCAGAGAGGTTGAGGAGCTTCCCGGAGATTACGATGCTCAGCCCCAGTCTGATTTAAGAGCCCCAGCTCTTGTCCACCAAGTTGTGCTGCTCACCCGCGTCCCATGAGGATGTTCACTGACTGGTGCTCACAGATTTTTCTTCCATTCTCTCCTAGTGTGACATTAAATGATTTTTCTAGGACCTGAGAAGTATTTTACCTACAACTTTGCAATTGCTTCAAAACTGACAGTGACCTGTGGGGACATTCCGATGAACGTCACCACCCTCCTCCTCCTCTACAATTAAGATATAACAAGTCATGACACGTTAAAGAATTATACACAGACCGGTTCGCATGTCATCACACTGTCCAGACGGAACATGAAACGGCCTGTGACCGGTCCCCTCCCATTCCATCCTGGGCCCACCATTCCTGCTGAGCATCAACTGTCCTAAGGGAAAACAAATCTATAATTTAGGTCGGCCACTTACTCGCCTCTCCACTGGTGTTGATCTGGACCATAACCTTTAACCTTTCTGGAGAACCTTTTTTCTGCCAGGAACTGTTCACTTTGTCAGCCAACTTCATAGAATCCACTGTTTCCAGCATGAAGAGATTGGGGACAGCTGTAATGAAAAAGAGGCATGGACCCCTACATTTACTCATGGCAGCGAGGAACATGTCAGAGACCTGGACTCGGTGGAGAAGAAAATATCCCAACAAAACAAGAAGACAGGCAGCGTGGGGCTCACGCCTGTAATCTCAGCACTCTGGGAAGTCGAGGTGGATGGATTGCCTGAGCACATGAGTTTGAGATCAGCCTGAGCCAGAGCAAGACCTGGTCTCTAAAAATGGCCAGGCGTTGTGGTGGGCGTCTGTAGTCCCAGCTACAACTACAACTAGGGAGGCTGAGGCAAGAGAATTGTTTAAGCCCAAGAGTTTGAGGTTACCGTGAGCTATGACACCATGGTACCCTACTGTGGGTGACATAATGAGACTCTGTCTCAAAAAAAAAAAAAAGACAGTGAAATCTCAGTTCCTGTCTGGGTGCAGTGGCCCATGCCTGTAATCCTAGAGCTCTGGTAGGCTGAGGTGTGAGGATCATTTAAGCCCGGTAGTTTGAGACCAGATGTAGCCTCTACTAAAAACATAAATATCAGCCAGGGGTTGTGGTATGCCCCTGTAGTCCCAGCTACTAGGGAAGCTGAGGCAGCAGGACTGAATCCAGGCATCTGAAATTGCAGTTGCCATGGCGATGCCATAGCGCTCCAGTCTGGGATGACAGCTCGAGACTCTTGTCTCAAAAAGAAAAAAAAAATCTCAGTTCTGTTAAGAAGACAAATGTGGCAGTTTTACTAAATGTAAGTCCAAAGGTCAGACCACCCCTGGCTAATTAACAGAAATAAATAATAAGGAAAGGGAGACGCCGACACACACAGGCAGGCCACTGTGTGTCCATACGCCTTGAGAAGCTGGGAACTGGAGATTCCTGGTGGCAAATGTGACCTGATGAAGCCTCAGTTCTGAGAAAAACAGGTCAAGATGGCAGTGAAGCAAGGACAACGAGTGAAAGCCAAACGCGTCCCTGGCACGTCACCAAGTCCCTAAGCTTTCTGGTATGAGGGTGTTTGTTCTTACTCGACAATGACTCAGAATAACCCACACATGGAAAGCTTAGGGAGACAAGGAAGTCATCAAAGTAATCGTTTTTTTTCTCTCTCTTTTCTTGTATTGTTTTGGAGACAAGAGTTTCACTCTGTTGCCCCGGTGTCAGCCTAGCTCACTGCGGCCTCAAACTCCTGGTTCAAGCGATCCTCTTGCCTCAGCCTCCTGTGCCTGGCCAACTTAATATTCTTAGTACTGAATTTGACCTTAAACGGTTTTGCTTAAAAAAAATAAATTAAAAAAAGTGACAAAAAGCATACACGCTTGATGTAAAAAAATAAATTAAGCAATATAAAAGCATATGCAATAGAAAGTCAAAAATCCTCACCCGAGGCTCAGTGCCTGTGCTCAGTGGTTAGGCTGGGCACATGCACCAGGGCTGGTGGGTTCGAACCCAGTCTAGGCCTACTTAACGACAACTACAACAAAAAAAATAGCCGGGTGTTGTGGCAGGCACCTATAGTCCCAGCTACTTGGGAGGCTGAGGGAAGAGAATTGCTCAAGCCCAAGAGTTTGAGGTGTGATGCTGTGAGTTGTGATGCCACAGTACTCTGCTGTGGGTGACAACAGTGAGACATAGTGAGACACTGTCTCAAAAAAAAAAAAAAAAGTCCTCACCCTATAGGAGACCCACTATTACCTTTGGGAAAATAATTCTTCTAGATCTATTTCAGTGTATCTTCATTCAACCAAACACCCAAGCCAACATTCCAAACACAAATGTATAATTTCTTATTATTCTGGGTTTTTTTTTGGAGACAGAGTCTATGTTGCTCTTGGTAGAGTGCTGTGGCATCACAGCTCACTGCAACCTTAAACTCTTACACCTAAACAATTCTCTTGTCTCAGCCTCCTGAGCAGCTGGGACTACAGATACCTGCCACAATGCCTGGCTATTTTTCTGTTGCAATTGTTTGAGCCCGCCAGCCTTGGTGTATGTGGCTGACACTGTAACCACTGTGCTACGAGCACAGCCTATTCTGTTTATTTTTTTTTTGAGACAGGAGCCTCAAGCTGTCCCCCTAGATAGAGTGCCATAGCATCACAGCTCACAGCAACCTCCAGCTCCTGGGCTCAAGCGAGTCTCCTGTCTTCGCCTCCCAAGTAGCTGGGACCATAGGTGCCCGCCACAATGCCTGGCTATTTTTTGGTTGCAGCCATCATTGTTGTTTGGTGGGCCTGGGCTGGCTTCGAACCCACCACCTTCGGTGTACGTGACTGGCGCCTTAGCCACTTGAACCACAGGCACCAAGCCATGGTTTTTTTTTTTTAATAACACAAATTAGATCACACTAAATGTTCTATTTGTCTCAGTTCACCTCTAAGCAATATCATACTACTTCATGTACAGTTTAAGAATTTTACAGTTAACGTACTTCTGTCTCTCTACTTCCTTCTGTTATTATAATATTCTGCCTTTACACGTTATAAACCCCATAATACACATTGTTGTTTATATAATGTGATGATACCTTGTAATAACAAAAGAATAGAGACAAATGAAAATCCTAAGAATGATAAACCTCTAGCTAGATGGGTAAGGAAAACAGAAAAGAGTCAATACAAATTACCAACATCAGGAATTAGAGAGTTGGCATCTCATAAGTTCTACAGATATTAAAAGGATAATAAAGAGGTATTAGAAACAACCTTATGTCCACAAATTCATCAGCTTAGATCAAATGGACAAAACCTCTTGAAAGATACAAAGTACCAAAACCAACCCAAGAAGAAATAGATTATGTGACTAGCTCTACCTCCATTAACAAAATTTAAACCATAGTTAAAAATCTTTCCAGGCTCGACGCCTGTGGCTCAAGTGGCTCAGGCGCCAGCCACATACACCTAAGGTGGCCGGTTCGAATCTAGCCCGGGCCCGCCAAACAACAATGACGGCAGCAACCAAAAAAAAATTGCCAGGCGTTGTGGCGGGTGCCTGTGTCCCAGCTACTTGGGAGGCGGAGGCAGGAGAATTGCTTGAGTCCAGGAGT